GTGTGTGTGTGTGTGTGTGTGTGTGTGTGTGTGTGTAAAACCCAGCACCTCCAGCATGCTGGGCAAGTGCTCTGCTCCCGGGCCGCACTCCCATCCATGCTTTTCCTTAAGAGGCTGATCATATATCACCAGTGATTCTGGGTGTCCTCCCATAATGGCTTGTTTTATGCCCACTGGGGGATGGATAAGAAGATCCCTTGCTTTTGTTTCTGGCTTTTTCCCGGTTAGACATGTAGTATTTAAAATCAGCAAACTCTCACCGCAGCCAGACTGCCCGAACCTTTGGCTTCCAGCTCTCATATTGGAGAGCGTTGACCTGGGAAGAATTCATAAGCTCTGAGGGCAGTGACTGCACGAGTCACCAGGCAGTGTAGCACGACTTGGGACGCAGGAGCAGAGAGAGCTCTTCTCAACCCCAGCTGGCCTAAGGGCAGGCAGCTGATCAGCTGGGCTTTCCTAGGAACTATCTTACTTTGCCTGTGCTAAAACTGCTGTGGATCCCAGTTTCTCCACTGTGAAAACTGATACTCTCTCACACCCACATGGCTAGGTGAGGGCGCTGAGTCAGACTGGAGAAAGGCCAGCAACGGACAGGGAGCTGACCCCATGTAATATAGTCCCCACCCACAAAGAAGCCTCTTCGTACAAAGTAACTGTAGTAAAGTATAAAATGAATGGCTTTAGATTTAAGAAAAAAAGAAGCCTCTTCTTAATTGAGGTTTATTTTTGGGTTTTTTGTTTGTTTGTTTTTGTTTTTTGGTACCAGGAATCAAACTTAGGACCTTGCACTTACCAGGCAGGCGTTTGTATCACTGAGCTATATCCCCAGCCCCTTTGGGGTTTTTCGGGGGCAGAGTATTGCTTTGTAGTTCAGGCTGGCCTTGAACTCTGTGTAGCCCAGGCTGACCTCGAACTCACAGTGATCCTCCTGCCTCAGCCTCCTGAGTGCTGGGATTACAGGTGTGCACGAGCACACCCAGCCTGGAGGTTTACTTTGCCTGTGTGAGAGCCCACCCCTGCAGGAGCCCCAAGTCACAGGCTGCAACCAAGCAGGCCCTCAGCAAGCTGGGTCCCTTGAGATTTCGGCCCAGCCTGTGCCAGTGGGTGCTTTGCTCCTGGGAGGGGGCATTGAGAACTGTGCCTGCCTCTGGGCCCTGGAGCCGGGCCTGCCTGTCACCCCCACAGAGGAGTCCAAGTCTGTCCCCAGGGAGGGTGAGCTGGCACTTAGTTCCAGGATGGGACTTAGTCCCGGAGAGGGGAGAGCATGCTGGAGCGGGGCCCTGTTCCCAGGGGCAGAAGGCTCCTCCTCATGAGCTTCCAGAGCTTCGCCCTCTGCAGGACAGGGCCTGCCAGACCGAGGGTACTGGAGTCACCTGGGAAGCTTGTTATCCAAAGCGCGCAAGCCCAGGCCCCAGGCTTCTTCCAGGGGCTGGGCTGAGTGCTCGGCCATGCCCTGCAGACACCCTGGAAAAAACGAGTGCCTTCGCCAGGCCCCGGTGTGTGGGACTTGGTGGTCTCTCGGTGGTCCCCGGGAGAAGGCGAGAGGATTCAGAAAATACAGACAAGAGACAGCCGGGGTCAGGTGGAGTTACGTGATGAGCAGGAGGACTGACTTGAATAGTAGGGGCGTTTATTTTATAGTCCTGCAAAGTTAGTATCTGGAGAGATTATGTTGCCTAGCGACTAACGACTGTAATTGCCCAGGCAGGATGCTTTTTTCAGTACTGAGGTAGCTTGACAGCTTGTCCTGCCCTCACACATACGACCAATAACCAACTCTAGCAGCTCCCAATGCTGGTGGCTCGAGGTGGATTGTGCCCCCAAGCCCCAGTAGCTCTGTGTCATGTGCAGGAGCGGCTGACGGACCAAATCCAGGGGACGGAGCAGCGCTGCCACCAGAGCCTGTTCATCTTTGACGAGGCTGAGAAGCTGCACCCGGAGCTGCTGGAGCTCCTTGGACCACACTTGGAACGCCAGGCTCCTGAGGGCCACCTCTCTGAGTCTCCAAGAACCATCTTCCTCTTCCTCAGGTGAGGTCTGAAGAGCAGCAGCAAGAGAGCCGGGCTGGGGAGGACGCGGGCGGCAGGGGAGGGCTCCCCCACTCCAAGCGCCAGGCCCTTCAGCTCAGGAAAAACTGAAATGTGCTGTGGCCAGGGAAAAGGAGCTGGCTGCGTGCCTTAGCTTTCCCTGCTCTTGCCCTGACCGCCCGCAAACACTTCTGAGGGTCTCCGAAGCTCAGGCCGGGCTGAGCTAGTGAAGAGAAGCTGTCTCCCGCCAGTACAAAACTCCCTCTGAGAGCCACCTCTCACACTGAGGCCCCTGAGCAGGGCGTTCCATTTTCAAGTCAGCCCAATAGCTGAAAAGCAAATACAAACCATCCTTGAAACTTTGCAAGGAAGGCCTTTCAGAGGACAGAGTAAGTATCCCCCTAAGTCCCACATTGCCCGTCCCTCCCCAACCTTGGAAGGTCAGATCAGAGGAAGTCCTGGGCCTCGAATTCAGGGCATGGTGTTGAGTAAGCAGCACCCTCGCTCTCTGCAGTGGTAGTTGGACTTGCAACACTGCCCTGCAGGACCTGCGTACCCCAGGCTCTTGAAATGGCTTTGCAGGATGCAAACTTATAAATAACTTATCCAACTCTTTTTGTTTTATTATTATTTTTAAATTTAACTTTTTTTTTTTTGACACAGTCTCACCGTGTATAGCCTGACCTTGAACCCACTATGTAGCCCAGGCTGGCCTTGAACTTGTGGCAGTTCTCATACCTCAGCCTCCCAAGCGCTGGGATTACAGGCCGGCACCACTGTACCCAGCTTTTGTGTTATATTTTTGAGATGGGGTCTCACTGTGTAGTCCAGACCTTCTTTGAATTCGCTGTGTCGCCCAGGCTGGCCTCTACTTGCAATCCTGTCTCAGCCTGCCAAGTCCTGGGATCACAGGTGTGAGTGTCAACACCTGGTTTAAACTGTCTTTTTTGGGGCTGGGGATTTAGCTCAGTGGCAAAAGCGCCTGCCTGGCAAGCGCAAGGTCGTGAGTTCGGTTCCTGGTACCGTAGAAAAACCAAAAAAAAAAACAACTGTCTTTTTTATGGAAGGTCCATCTTGAATGCTTCGCAAAGCTTCTTGTAGACTCAGCAAAAGTCAAACCTATTGGTTCCTCCTCAGCCCACTCTACCCTCACTTTTTCTGCGAGCACTCATTTGCAGGTGGGTTTTCTGGGGTTTCAGGGTGCAGCTGTTGGGGATGGGGAAGAGGGTGATTTCATCCGGCCTGGTGAGTGTGGAGGGCTGACCTTGTTTCAGTGCCGAAGCTCAGGACGGGATGGACCAGTTGGAATGGTTATTTGTGGCTGGGATTCCCGAGTCCTTTCTGGTGTGTAAAGCCTGTGCAGGATTGTGAGAGACGATGCGGGGGAGGGGGAGGTAGAGGTGAAGCTCCAAAAGGGACGTGGTGTGAATGTCTTATTAATCATCATCTCCAGTTTCTGTACTGTTTGGGGCAGAGATTCGGGTGGAGCCTCTGAGCTGCAGGTGCTGCCTAGAGGAACCGCCCATGGCTCCCCACCTGGGGCCTCTGGGTGAGAGTTAGGATGCTCAGCCCGCTGCTGCAGAAGCCAGCCCTTCCGCCAAACGCATGAAGTCAGGGTCCCTTTCACACATAAGCTTCTCTTCCTGTTGTTTCTGTCCCCTCCCCGATCAGTCCAGCTGCGCGTGCCACCTCCTAGCCTGAGGAGCTGGCTGATTCTTCTGTCTGTGCCTCAACCTGGAAAATCCTTGCCCTCACCTGGGCCCTGATAGCCCAGTGTGACCCAGTTGTCTCCAGACAGACATTTGCCTTTGTAGCATTCTGGTCGTGGACCAGCTGGCAGTGCCCTCCGTCCCCTCAGCAGTCCTGCCTTTGCCCCTAGTGACCCGGCCTTGGTGGGCTCACCGAGGACACATAGCCACACACAGCCAGTCCTCCTGGGTGGAGACAGCGCCTGGTGAGGAGGCAGCCTGTGAGACTGTACTTCATCAGCACCTGAGGAAGCGGCTGAGCCTGGGAGGAGAACACATACTTGTGACGGACTTGAAGGGCTGGCCACCAACGAAGATGTGGCCTTGAGTTCCAGTACTCTGATGTGACCTTGTACAAAACCTTCCCGCCAGTAAGAGGTCGTGGGCTGGGCTGCCAGTCCATCTGGGACACACAGAGCCACATCCAGTGGCACTCCTGCTACCCCACACACCCAGGCCACGGTGCCCCAGAGTGGCTGCTCTAAACCTGGAGAGGCTCAGGTAACCCAGCAGTGGGTGGGGAAGACATCTTGCGATGTGAGTCTCTGAGCCTGATTTCTACAATGAACTTCAGTGTATCCCCCTGTGTGGTGAGGATTCTTATCTGAAGGACAAGTACAGCTGATTTAAACTGCTAGTATGACTAAGTCACGCTAGGGTGAGACATGCAGTTTAATCCTGCAGTGTCCTAAACCAGCTGTTCGCATGAGGCGCCAGTGGCCGCCTTCTCATGCATCGGATGGCGGATGGGTTAGGGTGAGGACTCACTGCCCAAGGGTATAGGTGCCGATACCACGGCACCCGATCTTCACGGTGAGAGTGAGTTGTATTGAAGGGTCCTCCTGGCCCCCCCCGGCATGCTCACATCTTCCCCATTGGTAGGTAGCACGGGGATTTAAGCAGCCTGGGGTGAGGGGAAAAAGGAGTGATTGGCCATAATAGCTGGAATCTTCACAGAGTAGTCCCCGAGGAGCTGGTAGGTCATAACTACCAGCTGTAACTATTGACAGCACGTCGGCTTCTAACCGAGGTTCTCACTCCTCAGGTTCTGTTGGTTCCACCAGGCTCTGCAGGTCACTGTAGGTTGGTCGTAGGGTTGTGAGTCTGTGTCCTGGACAACAGCTGGGACAGTTTTTAGGAGCAGGGGCTTTCTGTTTCACAGAGGTGGTGGTTGGAGCAGGAAGTTCAGTGGGTGGTGGGTGGGGCACCCGGTCTCAGAGCCTGTGGCCAATCTCGGCGGAAAGAATTAGGCTGCCTACATTTCTCTACTAGAAAACTAACATTGACTGCTTTTCCCCATTTCTACCAAGTACAGAAAGCTCTAGGAATGGGGTCACGTGGAAAGACCAGAGATCCGAGCTATTGAAGCTAAAAGAGGAAAACTAATTTGTTTTCTTTGAACTGAAATAACTGAGAAATGAAAAGAACTATACAAATATGGGTAATTCATGGCCTTGTATCTCAGCATGTAGAAAATGCTCAGGGTGTATTTGTTGGGTGCTTTTTATTGACCAAGCACACTAATCCTCACCAAGGAAACTAAGGCTTAAAGAATTTGTGATTCACTCTATCTGTTCTTTCCTTCTGTGAGGAAAGACTCGGCTGTTGGAGTTTGTTACTGGTGTTATCAGTGACGGCCGGTTCTGGAAAGGCCTTCAGTCCTGTCCCTTTGGGACCAGGGCTAAGGCTGGTGAGATGGACGCTGTCCTGTCCCAGGGCCAGGGGAGAGGGCTGGCCCATCGGGGTGCTGCCTGGCCCCTGTGGCAGGCAGCCAGTGGACCAGGTGCATGTGAAAGGGAACTGAGGTGCTCCAGGAAGGGAGGTCTGTCTGAAGGTGGCATGTTGGTGCCAGAGCGGAAGCCCTGAGGACCTGGGGGTGGAGGCAGTGAAGGGACAGGGTGCCCAGGTTAGGTCTTGGTGTTAGGCCTGTACCATAGTGGGGGAAAGAAGACATTATCTAGGGGACAGAACAGGAGAGGAAACTCAGCAGGGAGCTGGAGATGGTGCAGGGCACCTGTGGTTTGCTGAGCCCTGTGCTGGGCCCTGGGGCTACATGGGTAACCCCAGCCAACTGAAGGCGTTGGCTTCTGGGTAGAAAGGGGAGGGCACTGCGGTCTGCTCTAGGGCTGGGTGAATGAGCCGCGCCAGAGCCCCCTCACCATGGAGACCTGGCCTCCAGCCCATGCCACTGGAAAGAGCTCCCTGCCTCTGTCTCCTGCGGGGAATGTGGGACAGGGCAAGCCCTTGGCATGGGGCGGCCCTGGCCCGGCTGATGCAGTTGTGGCCCAGGTGCCCAACTCGCAGACTTCCCGCGGAGGCGGAGGGAGGTGGAGGCAGCAGCGGGGCAGCAGCTTATCCACGCGCAGGTGATGCAGGCACTGGGGAAGTCTGGCTGAGCAGCTGACCTTGAGCAAGGAGTGGGGACTGTCCTTGCTTCTGCTAGGCTCGTGGCCCTGGCACACGGATCCCTAAGGAAGGCGGCCCTGCAGCCCTTGGCTAGGCAACCTGGCAGCCCCAGCTCGACTGCCCTAGGCTTCCTCCGCCCAGCACCCAGTCCCAGAGGCCTGGCCCACAGGGCACACCAAATGCTGAATGAGCAAAGAAGTGGGTTCCTCCAGCGAAGGGTGTCAGAGGGCTTCAGGGACTTGTGAGGAGAGATAGGGAAGGAGTATCGGGGTCCCCACCTTAGCTTTAGGCCTGCTTTTCCTAGGCCTTCACTTATTACACCCCCTCACTCTGTTGGCCCTGGGCAAAAAGCAGTGGGGAGAGTGAGGGCAGAGCTCGGCTCAGGGGGCTGCAGCCGCTGGAGAGAAGGGCACAGGGGCAGGGCAGCTCAGGCCTCCAGCCCTCCCAGCTTCTCGGGGGGCTCTCTGGGCTCTTTTCTCCTTACCCCCTTTCTCCCAGTCCTCTGCTGCGTTTCCGATCTGTAATCCCCCTGTCCAGCGATCACAGCCCCTAGAGAGGTCACAGGCGGTGGAAAACACTCCAAGGCATAGGAAAGCAAGTTCTCGTTTCCAACCTTCTCCCACCACGCAGAGCCGCAGGTAACCATGGCAGACACTTTTTTGCCTCCTTTTTCTCACCTCTCATGTTCATCAGGTGCAGCGTCCTGTCCGTGGTGTTTCCTACACTAACTCTCAGCGCGTCTCCACCTCCCCTGTAAACATGCACTGTCTGCAACAAGCTCTGGGATCAGCTTTCCGCCACCGTTCTGTGCCTCTTCGACCTCTGTAGCCCTGCTTGTCTTAGGACACAAAGCGGATTTGGTTGCAACCCCACACTTAAAACTCTTCAGTCGCTCTCTGTGGCCCATAGGCTAAAACCCATGCACAGGGCACAACAGAGCCCCCTCCCTCCGGCTTGGCGACCTCCTGCTGTGTCCCTCCGCCCCTGGCCCCGTGGCCTGTGATACACTGGTCCTGGGCCATGCACCCTTCCCTCCTCAGGCATGATGATCACTACTCAGGGTGGGTGTGCTCAGAAGCCACATCCTCCCTGTAGCTGTCTGCCTAGACCTTAGCTGCTTCTCCTTTAGTACCTGCCGCACTGTGCTAGAATCTCATACACATACAGGACTTGCTATCACATAGAACTCAAGGGAAAGAACCTTGTGCTCCCTGAACAGTCGCGTAAGTGTTGAAAGAGAGAGAGGATGGATGGCAAAGCAGGCAGTGCCTCTGCTGTACACCTACGCGACCTGCTGGAGAAGGAAGACCTCGGCCCCTCAGCCTCCATTCTTTCGGGCATCAATGAGTGACTGGCTTCAGTGGCCATTTGAAGTATAAAAATAGACACCTGCCCACAGTCTCTCGTCTCTTTCAGTAACCTTGGAGGCAATGTCATCAACGAGGTGGTTCTGAATTTGCTTAAGGCTGGACAGGCCCGGGAAGAGATTACAATGGGACACTTGGAGCCCCACCTCCAGGCTGAAATTACCAAGTCCATAGGTAAGTGGCCGATTCCCAGCCAGGCAGAGCATAAGGCCCCGGTGAGAAGCACGGTTGGAAATGATTAGTGTGTGTGCTGATCATGTGCTTAGGAGGTGGACAGGGCACTGGACACCCAGGGGACATATCATAATCGTGTTTGTCAGTTTTGGGTGGCAAAATAAGAGTGCCAAAGAAAGTCTGAACTTTTCTGAAAATGCTCTGAAGGGGTTGTGTGTACTGGCCTGGAGACACAGGCAGTAGTTTCTGAAGCCCATAAACTCTAGTCTCGCTGTGAGAATCTGAGCGGCTCAGCCTCCAGCCAAAGGTAGGCTTGGTCTGCCTCTGCTTCCCGCCATCAAACAAGTTACAGACCTGGCAGTCCCGCCCCCTCCCTGCTTCGCTACACGTCCGTGTTACCACGCGCCTGGCTCTTGGCACATGCTGCGGACAGCCCCTTCAGAGCTGGCAGATGAGAGCAGATCTTGCCCAGGCCTTAGATTCAGGGACATCTTAAGGCGCTAGCTAGGTTTGGCCCCAGTCATAGTTCATGATCTTTGGGTCTTGATTTCAGAGAGTGGCTTGGGCCGCAGCCGTCTTGTGCAGGAAAACCTGATTGACTTCTTTGTCCCTTTCCTGCCCCTGGAGTACCGTCACGTGAGGCTGTGTGCACGGGACGCTTTCCAGAGCCAGGAGCTCCTGTACACAGAAGAGAACCTGGATGAAGTTGCCAAGATGATGACGTATGTTCCCAGGGAGGAGCAACTCTTTTCTTCCCAGGGATGCAAATCTATTTCCCAGAGAATTAGCTACTTCCTGCCTTGAAGGCTCAATGAAGACTTCTGAAGATGCCTTGCTCCACTAACAAAACTCTGGGACCTGCCAGGTCACTAGCTGGCATCCAGCAAAGGCTAACGCACAACTAGGGTACAAAAGGAAAGGCTTACATCCGAAGCAGAGTCAGCTCTTAATGTCGTTTGGTGCCTTAAAGACCCACTCCAAAACGTGGGCCTGGAAGCTGGAACAGCCAGAGGAAGATGGGCAGATTCCAAGGGCATGCTCAGCCCTATGATGGTCTCGTCAGCACTGGAGCTCTTACGGGCAGATGGCTGGCTTGGGTTTTGAGCCCCGGAGGCTGCAAGATTCTTGGTTTAGAGAAGAGAGGCGAAAGTAGTTCTGTGGCCTGCTGGAGGGGAGTATAATGAGTTTGCAAGCTAAGTGGGCTGCTTCTCAAGTTACTACCCTCAGAAAGCTGAGCAGCTTCTGTTTGTGAGCGGATCAGCAGTTATTAGGCTAAAGGGAAAAGTGCACAGAGGAAGATACTTTAAAGACATGTGTTGTTCTGGTCTGCAGATTGAAAAAAATATTTTTAAATTAGGGGCCTTGACATACGTGATTATGTCATACGAAAAAATTAAAATTTTGTTTTTTTAAAAACATATTTGGCCTGCTTTCTTACTGAGATCTAGTAATTGTGCTCACTTAGAAAACTTCAAATGCCAGGTAATCTTGACGGGCACTGGCGGAGACAGGGTGGACGCTGGCACCCACAGAGCTGGCAGAGTACATCTGAGATTTGCTTTGGGACCGTGTTAGCTAGGCTGGGTTACAACCAAATTTTACTGAAGAGGTTTCCCTCTCACATATGAAAACATTCACTCCTGTACTCTCAGCTTGAAAAGGAAGTCATTTCTGAGGATTAAATGGCAATGTGTAGATGGGTAGTGTCAGACCTTTACACCTCCCATTTTTCCCCCATTTCTTAGTTCTTCCCTTCCCCTGCACTTTTAGAATAACGTACTTGTCTTTTGTGTGTTATCATCTCATGTCCTCTCATGGAATGCCCTCTTCAACCCTCTCACGCTGAGCCCTTCTGAAATGGAGCATTTCTGTCTCCCCCACTTAACACTTTGTTGTGCTCAAGTACTCAAGTAAGTGCCTCACGGTTAGGAGTACCCAGGCCACGCATCATTCTTAAATACATACTCAAATGAGTTAAAGGACTGTAGCTTCACACCACTCACGGTACATGAGTGAACGTGGTCTAACTGTGCCATCAGACGGGGCCATTTTTAGCAGCTGCCTCACCATCTTTCAGTCTAGACAGAGCACCTGTTGAAAAGCATCCAGCTGCAGTCCAGCCCAAATACACACTCAGCTGTAAACACTAAATACATACACTTTAGAAGGTATAGTCTGTTTTGATGTCTCAGATGCACAAAACACTTTCTTTCAGCACTGACCAGCAATGTTTGGTGTCGTAAATGCAGGTCTGAACTCCCACCTCAGGTTAAAAGACAAATAGCGGAACACAGTTCCAGACATGTTCCCAAGCCAGCGCTTGGGCTGGAGTTGTGTTTCTGCCACTTAGCACCGTGAGACACCAGGAAAGCTCCTTAATCCACTTTAACTTTAGCTTCCATTCAGGTTTGACTACATCCCGCAAGGGTTGCTGGGAGGATTTAATGATGTAATCTTTGTAAAAGTGGTCAGGACACACAGCTTCAGGTACATAAAGAAAAACCATTTTCCTCTCCATATACCAAAGGTGTGAGCTTTCCATGCGAAGGTAGTCTCCAGTTCCCAGTGGATTCCAACCCTGCAGTTGCCTTCTGAACCCTCAATCCCAACTCCCTGAGGTCAGTGGAGTCAAAGGTTCTGTCTAAAGACTGCCACCCACTTCAGAGCCAGCTGCAAGTGATAGGTCTCTAGGTTACCCAAGCTTCTGTCCAAGCTGGCTATAAATCAAGGGTTCCTACTGTAGGAAACAGCCTATCTAGTTAGCCTGTGAGTAAGGCAGCTAGCTAGGGGAAAGGCCTGAGAGAGAGTTGGGTGATCTGCCATATGGATTAAGAGTTTTAAAGATAATGAACCAGGACTCTGGACCAAGGATGAAGGAATGCAGCCCCCTCCCTACTAAATTTTAAGGAATTTAAAGGGCAAAATTTTTCCCCCTCTAAAATCCCAGTTTGCTTTAAACCTTACATGTTGAAGAACTGAGGTAGAGAGCCTGATTTCCAACTGGTCATTTTAAACCCAGAGTCACTGTGATAGGTGGCCACCAAGTACCTGAGCAATCCCTGTGGTCCGCTTATCTATAATTAGCTCTGGGCCAAGGAGCCACATGGCCGCACACTCACAACCCCTCCTGGAAATCCAGAAGCTATTCTTTTTTTTTTTTGGTGAGTACTGGGAATTGAACTCAGGACCTCGTATTTGTCAGGCAGGCGCTGCACCAGTGAGCTATATCCCCAGCCCCAAGAAGCTATTCTTATTTCCAAAGAAAACTCTTCTAATCTCCTACTTTGGTTCATGACTACATTCTTCAGTGTTTGTGGAACTGGGAGCTCCATCCATACAGTTAACAAATGACCCCTTGCAAGTTGGATAATTTGCAGAGAACTCAAATACCGCTGGCAGCCTCTGGTGAAGGATACAACTCAGGAACAGCTGATAGAAGAGCTGTACAGAGCAGAGCACTCTGTGTCTGGCAGTGGTGCTGAGGCAGATTTGGGAATGGGAAACCAGCTCAGTGGGCATGACCTGTCAGTGAGGGAGATCCAGGACATGCACAGAAAATCAGTTCCAAAAGTCCTGCACCTGGGACTAGAGCATGGTCTTCAGATCTCGTGAGAACTCAAGCAGGTGTTTTTTTGTTTGTGTGTTTTTTTTGTCTTTTTGAGACAGGGTCTCACTATGCAGTGCAGGCTGGTTTTGAACACAACTTGTAGCCAAGGCTGGCTTCGAACTTGCAAGGATCCTCCTGCCTCAGCCTCCTGTGAGTGCTGGGATTACGGGCATGTGCCACCACACCTGGTTCAAACAGGTTTTAGACAGGACAGCCTGGACCATCCTATCAGTCAGCCGGAGTAGTGGGAGATACAAAAGATGGCCGCCACTAAGTTCTCGGCCGCTGTGCTTGTTCTCACAGTGGCCCACTCTCACCCTGCAGTGTCCTTTTCCTGCTTTAACTGGCCCACACTCTCTGCAGTGGGTGTTTCTTTTCCTACCTTTAATAAATGTAAAACCTTGCTACTCTTTTTTTCTTTTGTCTAATTCTCTGCTCTGAACAAGAACCTAGAAAGAATCTCTAGAAGTAGACCCACGTCTCCAGAACCCCAGAACTCAGACACTGCAGATCTTCCATGCCCTCTTCTAGGTTCCACCCTCCCAGCATCCCCACGTATTCACCAACCTGGAAGCTCTCTGAAACCCACCATTTGCTGGATGTGGTGGTGCACACCTGTAATCCCAGCATTTGGGAGGCTGAGGCAGGAGGATCATTGCAAGTTTGAGACCTGCCTGGGCTACCAAGTGAGATTAAGTTCAGCCTGAACTGCATAGCGAGACCCTGTCTCAAAAAAGAAAAAAAAAAAAAAAAAAGCCATCATTTGTTAAAGTTTTATGAAGACTTTTTTATGTATTCACGACTGACTAACCATTGGCCACTGGTGACTAAGTCAATCTCCAGCCTCTCTTCCCTGCTGAGAGTGGGGCTGAAACACAAGGATGTGAGGTGGAAAGTTCCAAAGTTCTAATCGCATGGTTGCTTCCCCCTGCAACCGTTTTTTTTTTTTTTTTTGAGACAGGGTCTCACTGGCCTTGAGCTCCCTTTGTAGTCCAGGAGGGCCTCGAACTTACAAAGATCCTCCTGCCTCAGCCTCCCGTGGGCTGAGATTACAGGCGTGAACCACCATGCCCAGCTCTCCCTTTCTTTAAGAGTCAACTCACTAGTACAAACTTTGGTAGGAGTGGAAAGAGATTGTGAATAACAAAAGATGTTCCTCTCTCCACTACACTTGGAAAATTCCACAGGTTGTAGGAATACATGTTATAAAACAGTAAGACGTTTAATAAAGACAAACAATAAAAAATTTTTTTGCTCATAGTTACAAAATTACCCAGTCAGTGGAGTGAGGATTCAATCCCAGAAAGTCTGACTCCAGCTTTTGTACTTCAATGATGTTGTTTCTAGAACTAATTTCCTTAGCAAATGCTAGATCAGGTGTGGACAATGTGACAATACAAAAAGAAACAAGATCACAATATGAACTTCTTTTTGGAAGATTCTAAAAACAACACTTCTTAAACAACTGAAAATGGAAGGGAGAAGAGGACTTTAAAGGGAATGTTAAAAGGTGTATACTATGCTTAAAACCGATTCTAATTGGCCTAATGTCTATCACTTATGTATAGTCTACTTGTACCTAATTAAGGTAACTTCTAAAAATAATACAATTTTTTAAAATACAAAGTCAACCAAAGAGAACACACTGTTCCTTTTGAGTTCTCACCTGTCAATAATTACCTTGAGTGTAAGTGGACTAAATCTTCCAATTAAGAGACTGTGGCTAGGGGCTGGGGATTTAGCTCAGCAGCACAGCACCTGCCTGGCAAGCGCAAGGTCGTGAGTTCGATTCCCGGTACGAGAAAAAAACCACAAGAAAAAAAAAAAAGAGACTGTGGATGTATAGAATAAAAAACAAGATCTAACAATAGCTTCAAGACTTATTTCACTGTTAAGAATAAAACCAAAGAGCTTTAAAAATTAGAATTGTAAAGCTACACTATCTTTTTAGCTTCCTCACACTCAGTGACAACTGCAGCCCTTAGCCCTGGCTCCAAGGAAGTTTCAAGAGAACCAGACTTTTAACACTGTTCTGGGCCAGCTGGTGGGCCAAAGCCTGGCCAAATCTACATCCCCTACTTTATCACTTTTATCTTGTCCCTCCTGTAAGTTGAACTACTTCTGTGTTTGAGGGTGGCAGACTAGCTACCCTCCCGATCCCATTTTTGTATGGGCTTTTCTCTTTCTCTTGATGTCAGGCAGGTGAATGAAGCCAGATAGCTGAGGTCCAGATTCAGGTCTTTGCATCTGGTCCCAGCAGCAAGGACACACATAGACTGAAAATGAAGGAATGAAAAAAGATACTCCATACGAATGGAAACTAAGACAGAGGACTGTGTGTGTGTGTGTGTGTGTGTGTGTGTATTTATATATATATATATGGTCATTACATAACAATGATGACAAAGAGGTCATTACGTAACAATAAAGGATCAATTCAAGAGGATGTAACAATTTTAAATATGTATGTATCAGCACTGGAACACCTAAAATTATATAAAGTAAACATTAACAGATCTAAAGGGAGAAACTTACAGCAATACAAAAATAGTAGGGAATTTCAATACCCCACTTAGAGCAATGGACAGATCAGACAAGAAAATCAACAAGGAACACTGTATTTAAACTGTACTCTAGCCGGGCATGGTGGTGCATGCCTGTAATCCCAGCACTTGGGAGGCTGAGGCAGGAGGATCGTGGCGAGTTCGAGACCAGCCTGAGCTACAAAGTGAGCTCAAAGCCAACCTGAACTGCATAGCGAGACCCTGCCTTAAAAAAGACAAAAAAATAAAATAAAATAAACTGTACT